TGTGTTTTGTATCGATAAAAAGTCTAATATTTGTCGCCATTGAATGGATTGACATTTGTATTGAAATTGATATTTGATGGATGGCTAAAGTATATAAGGAATAAGAATTTGACACTTTATTTAATCAAATATAAGTAGAGATCGATTCAAACAAAACATTAATCATTTTCATCCAAATAATGATAACAATTGTGTTACGAGTCTATCAATGGATGTGAAATATCCTGTATATGAGTACATGTTTTGTCGAGTGCTTTCATCTTTCACTTCAAAACAATTTTTAATATATGACCAAAAATATGCTATTAATTCACCTTTATATAAAACTGAATAAAAACAACAACAAAAACACCAATTTCAACAAAAGTTTAGACTAAAGGCTATTTTTATTTGAATAAAAAGAAATTTTTATTTCTATTGTTCTTAAAACATGATAAAATAATTTGTATTGAGGTTTGAAAAGTTTTTAAAAATTTTAAAATAATACACAAAAGACTTACAAGTTTTCAAAAATAAATCATAATTTGAATTGAATGAGAATTTTACTATTTTTTACTGAAAACATGCAAAAATACATTGTATTCCGTGTTTTCTTACATTTAATAATTTATAAATGAATATAAAATAAAGTCAATTCTCTGACAAAATTCATTACATTTATAACAGTAAAAAACAAGTTTAAAATAAAAGTTACAAAAAATAAATGACTTTTAACTCAATTTGATTGCAGTATTGATCGGATGTCTGTCCACATCCATAACGTTATTCCTCTCACCGATCGTTATAGCGATTTGTCGGCGAAAGAGTATTCGTTTGATCGCTATATTAGGCGGTCTGATAACAGCCCTCGGATGCCTTTTTACCTCATTTGCCACACAATTTCATCAGATGTTCGTCAGCTATGGTGTGATTGTAGGCATCGGTGTGTCTATGATTCGGGAGACGGCAGTCATTATGATTGGGCAGTACTTCAAGAAGAAACGAGAGTTCGTCGAAATGTTTGTGATGGCGAGCACTGGACTCGGAATCGCTTTCATGCCTTTATTCCTAACATTTGCCATTAGGTCTCGCATTTCAGTATATTTTTTAGCTCTTATTTTGACATTTATTGTAAAATTGCTATCATTTCAGAGCCAAGAATTGGAGATTTGGATTCCAAGGGCTGGCGTTGATTACATTCATTACGTTTTTCCTGGCGGTGCTCTACCGACCGGCCTCTCTATATCATCCCCAGAGGCGAGCGATTCTTCACTTAAAGAGTCTGCAAAAACGGTCGCGAATTAAAGACAAAATGAAATGTCACCAAAACTCACAGAAACAGACGTCAATCAACAGCTCCCAAATGGCAGCCCTCGAGAAACCGCCTTATTTTGACTTCTCTGTCCTCAAGTCCAGAACCATTCAGATATTGATTTGTGGCACTTGTATCTCATCCTTTGGCACGACTACACCTTTGCTGTTAATGGTTAGACATCAAAGCAATTACACAATATATTAATGTTTAATTTGGCGTTTCAGACACAACAGGGATCCGTTGAGAACATTGATTATCACTCACTGATGGCATTACAGGCGTATTTGGGAATCGGTATAGTGTTGGGCACGACTGCCATCGGGGCTATAATAGTGAAGAACTCGGTTGAGTGTATGATTGCCAGACAATACTTGTGTCAGGCCTCGTGTTTTATGCTGAGCGCCAGTCTATTGGCGTTCACAGCGCTGGACGACTATCACGGATACGTCTTGTTTGTGTGGATCTATGGCTTCTTCTACGGCGGGTATCAGTACTCACTTAAGATGTTTATATACGAGAAAGTGAGGGCCCGTAACTTCAACAGAGCCTGGGGTTACGTCCAGTTTTGTCAATCCATCCCAACTATTGTTGGCATTCCTATATCAGGTTTGATATGTTTTTTAATTAATATTTTATATTTTCATACATTTTCTAAAATTGTTTATAACTTCAATCGGGTCTTAAGTTTGTAAGCAATTCTTTGAAAACAGTTGTTTAAGCTTAAAGTGAATTGAATTTAAAGCTATGAAAACAAGTTTGACATTAAAATCAATACATTAGAAGATAAACAAAAAATCAAACAATTGAGTGCTTTTTGTGGATAAAAACATCAGAAAAACCAAAAACAAACTTAAAATATATCTTTAGTGACCCGTATATTAAGGGTTAGAAAATCATATAAATTATATCCGAATGAATGACAACATATTTTTCATGATATGAAACAATAAAACAGATAAAAGATTATTTTAATTAAATTCAGGCAATCGTGGATTAATAATAATTAATTTAATTAATTGTTTTTTGGTGCAAATAATGAGTTTTACCATAATGCTTTACAAATTCATATTGATATTTAATTGATAAAATATTTACATTTAATTTTTCATTTTAATCGATCATTAATTAAATCAATTTCACAATACGATAGTTAATGACAAAAAATTGTTTCATTTATTTATTTAATTAATAAATAGTAATTTGTATTCACTTCACATGAATTAATAGCATTCCTTAACGAGCACTTCGGAGACCGGACGGGATTTTACTTGTCCTCAATGTGTATAGCGTTGGGCTCTTTAGTCCTATTCTTCATCGACGCCCATAAGAAACGAGTGGCAAAGAAGCGGAAGATTAGTAGTGTTAGCGGAACAGACATGGCTACGGACCAGTCCAGGAGGTGTTCACACGAACCGTCGATGGATTTGCACCAATACTTGCCCGCACTTCGGGCGCCCAACGACTCGATGGTCGACATAAATCTCAATCAATTCAATTCAAACGGAAGACTCAATGATATGAACGCATATAACTCTATGGCAAACAATCAATTGGATTTGATCCGCAACGCGAGGACATCGCGATCCAACTCCATCTTCAGCACCACAATCGGCGGTCCCCTTAACGCTGAGTTGACGTGCATTTCGGAGGAAATAGTTTTGGATAATATGCTCGAAGACTCATTGATGGACGACTGCATCACTTCTTGCAATAAAGAGAACAAATATCTTATGTTAAGTGAATTCGAGAACAATTTGAATGATATGTCAGAAGAGGCCAAAGCTATTATACGGAAGCGAAAGGAACAGCAATCCATTGAAGGCTTTATATTAGATCAACACGAAGACGACTGTCCGCTCTCTAAGGCCAAAGCATTGGCCGATAAACACAAGTTTACGTCTAATCCTTTGCAGAGAAACCATATGACGGCCCGACAGAGGAGGGCGTCGTTTGCAGGCATCGCATCCGATACGACCGCAAACAATATGGCCATTGAGTTAAATGATGAAAATCATATGACAATGAATGGCGATTTGCAACATAAGTCGTGTCCTAATTGTGGCGATCAAATCAAAGACGGCTCTCAATTGATTCGTCAAAAGATTGCCGAAGAAGAGGAGATCGACGAAGAAGACAGTATTGATGTATAAAATGTATAGCATTTCACTCGAGAGTAATAATTTGATTCTCAAATTAACCAAATGTTTGGAAATAATATTATATTATTATTGTTGTAATGAATTAATGTTTAAATAAGTGAACAATTTTTGTCAGATTCCTATTGAATTTGATTTCACTTTTAATAAGAGATGCTTTTATTTGATATTAAACCGAATTTATGTTATGTTTCCCACAATTATTTTATAATAAATAAAATTTACACTTTATTTTGTTTTAAATTTATTATTATTATTTAAAACAATTTTGAATTAAATTTTTATTGAATTTTAACCATATATTTTAAAATATATGTTATTATAAGTTAATTATTGAATATTTGATGTGATTCTTGTGCATCGCTTAGAGTTTTATTATAAAATTTATGTGAATTTATTAATAATATCAGTTTTAAAGCTGAGAATTATAAAGATTTCTTAACCTAATCTGTGATCTGTTCTGATTGTCATACCGTTAATACTGCCAATCGTTAAACATTTAACAAAAATACAAATAAAAACATTTTCAAACAGATTTATTTTATAAGATAATAATTGTTATTCAAAACAATACTCATCCACTTATTACTGTTTATTGTATTTCACATTAATTTCAATTAGTGTNAAGTACTGCCCAATCATAATGACTGCCGTCTCCCGAATCATAGACACACCGATCCCTACAATCACACCATAGCTGACGAACATCTGATGAAATTGTGTGGCAAATGAGGTAAAAAGGCATCCGAGGGCTGTTATCAGACCGCCTAATATAGCGATCAAACGAATACTCTTTCGCCGACAAATCGCTATAACGATCGGTGAGAGGAATAACGTTATGGATGTGGACAGACATCCGATCAATACTGCAATCAAATTGAGTTAAAAGTCATTTATTTTTTGCAACTTTTATTTTAAACTTGTTTTTTACTTTTATAAATGTAATAAATTTTGTCAGAGAATTGACTTTATTTTATATTCATTTGTAAATTATTAAATGTAAGAAAACACGGAATACAATGTATTTTTGCAAGTTTTCAGTAAAAAATAGTGAAATTCTCATTCAATTCAAATTATGATTTATTTTTGAAAACTTGTAAATCTTTTGTGTATTATTTTAAAATTTTCAAAAACTTTTCGAACCTCAATACAAATTATTTTATTATAAAAATTCTTGTTATCTTTATTTTTAAAGAAAAATAAGTTTATTTTTATCGGAAATCAGATTTGAAAACAACTTTAACCACAAAAACAACAACAAAAATAAGTCAAAATATATTTCCACTTAATTATC